TTATACTATATGGTTTGTGATGATGGTGGTAGTGGATGATGGTTTGTGACGGTGGATTTGTGTTGTGATGATGGCAGCAAATGGTGATGGGTGGTGGCGGTGCATTTCTGTTGTGATGATGGTTGAAGATCGATTAGGTGGTATTGTGGGGTTGTTTTCTAATTCAAGTGGAAGGTCGTTTGGACAATGTGCGGTGGGTTTGTTTTGTATTTGTAGGTGGAAGATCGTTTGGAGAACAATTTGTTGGAAGGGTAGAAAGATAGTTTGTGACGATGGTGAAGCAGTGAACTAGTAAAAAGAGAAAATGGAATAAAAGCAAACAGCACTGCAAACTGTATCTTCAATGGTAAAAAAGTTGTCAGAATCTAATTTTCAGGATTCTATTATCTGAATAATAAAGCAAACATTACTCTGAAAATTGGGTTTAGGATAGGATACGAAATAACAAACCAAGCGGACCTAGGGTATTGAATAGGAGGATAATAGCTTCTTGTGAGTGCAATGCAATAGAATGCGGCTATCCAATAGTTGCAATGACCGGTAAGGAGGAGCTGAATAACCTGAATAATTATTAATTAAGCAGGAAATAAAAAAAAAAGTAAAAGTAAAATGACCCGTAAGGATAAGGTACATCAGTTGAAATGTTGCATCAGTGGGTAACACTATTACTAATGGCGGTGGCTATTATGGCGTCAATGACCCACACCAACCTTATTTTCATTTCGATTTAATTCTTTAATTATTTCGTAAAGTTAAATACATATAGAAATACCTGACGTGGCATTGCCCCCAACCCTTCCCTGTAACAGTATCTATTGGGCCCACCCATGATGTGTTTGTTTTATTATTTTGGATATGATTTTTGTTACCTGACGGGTCTATCTATGGTGTGTTTGTTTTATTATTTTGGATAGGATTTATTATTTTGGGTAAGATTTTAAATACATATTTGTTTCCTATTCTGAAAATTCAATTTTATTCTACTCAATTATTTTTAAACATTTTAGGTTTGTTAATTTTGTTAATGGGTGAGTAAAGGTGTTTTTGTTAATTTTCATTGTTTTATTGTACAGGTGTTTAGCTAAATTAACAAATCTAGAGGGTATTTTTGTTAATTTTTAAATTATATCTCCTAATAACCACTCAACTCAATTTTTTTTAAAATATTACTCTAATTAATCAAACTCTTCACTTAAACGACACTTAAGTTTTTTCCTTAAATAAATAAAGTAAAATACCCATAATTAACAATTAAAATAAAATGTTTAAAAAGTTTTCAACACAAGGTTTATATTTATCCGTAGAATTATATAAAAACAGAGTTGAGGAAGATGGCGATATTTCTAATTTGATTGGAACATCTAACACTGTCGTGCACCTTAGCTACTATCAAACCTTCTGACTTCTAACAACTCTACTATCAAATTATGGGCTGCTCTCTTTGACCTCCCCGAGGTTTTAAGACCCCAAACCTTCCTAAAATGGTCACCAACTTTCTCTTTGATTTCAATAAGTATCAACAACTTCCCTTCTCAGTTATAATATTAAAAAAAAAAAAAAAAATCTTAGTTGGGTGAATCCAAATAAAACGAGTACGTATATTAATTGCACATGACATAAAATATCTATTATGAATTTTCCATCTTGATCGTGCTTACTAAAATAGATTCCCCTAGTTTCGCCTTATTTGTTTCCTGTAATCAATAATATGAAATTTGTATAGCTTTATATAGAAAAAAATAGATAGACAATGGATTTGATATATATCTTCCAGTCTTACTGTGAACAAAGGGAATCTTTCCACCTTTGATGATAGTTTTAATTAGAGGGTTAAAAAAAAATTAATTACACGATAATTAAACGGCATGATGAGTGCGTTTGATGAACTGTTTCTAATGATTGGATGGGGGTGAAGAATTATGGTTTTAATTACCTTTGAATAGTTGAATAGTTTGATAGAGATTTTTGAGTATATTACTTAAGAGGTCTTGAGTTTAATTCCCTCCTCGTGTGTAATAGAGATAGTCGTTGAAACTTTTACTCGATCGATAATTTCAAGATTCCGAATAATTAGTTGAAATACACGTAAGTTAGTTCAGAAGCTCCTAGTTTTTTTTAAAAAAAAAATGATGGTTTTTCAGATGTGCGAGAAGCAGTGGTGTTCACACGCCCATGAATACGATGGCGACGATGGTGAATTTTATAGATTGTTGGTTAGTTGGCGAGTCAAATAGGATTGGGACCCAATGCTCATGTTTTCAATCTGATAGACATGCAACAATAGGCAAGGTAAGGATGCACATGTTATAAATGAAAGGGTTTATAGGAAATAACCACTTTTAAAAGGTTGATAGAAACCAAGCACGTATGTTTACCTATTCCAGGTTCACCGCATAACCTATGTGAAGACAAAGACTGGATTTTAAAAACTATTTTAATATTTATTTTAAAATAATAAAATCCTCGATACTATTTTAATCATATTAATTTTAATAATAATTTTTGAATTATTCATGTAAATAATTATGAGTTTTATATAGTAATTATTATTAATGGGAGATATAATTATAATTTAAAAATTAATTATAATTATGATTTAAGTATTTTAATAAATAATAAAAGTTATCGTAATGTGACTTGAATTTTTTATTTAATTTTTTTACGTTCCTCACAATCATTCATATATAATTTTTTTTAATCTAATAGTGATAAGAGAAAAGTTAAAAATAATTACATTTAATATTAACTCAGCCTTTTTTATCAACAATGATAATCAGTTTACAAGAAGGGTCAAATACTCCTCTCCTCTCGTCCTATTGACATCTCTTTCGATTGGTTAAGATTTTGTCAAATTAATTTAATTTCCTCATTCTTCTCTTAGTTTCCACCATTTATGCCCACCATATTCTAAAATTATTGAATAAAAGTACACAGAAGTTAGAAATTAACATTTTACAATAGTTTATCAAATTTAATTTTCAATAAAATTATGCTTTACATTTTGTTACTTTTGTATATTAAATCACATTGGGTAGTTAAGATTCAAAATTTTAACATGAAAGAAGTCAATAGGGATATAAAAAATATATTTTCAAGCGGCATTCAATTAGGGATGTAAAAAAAACTCGGTTGGAGCATGAAAGGTATATTATATAAAATTTTGGAAATTTACAAATAATTCCTTGAAAAATGCTCTGGACCCCTTTCACGAAGTAAAATTATGTAACCTCCTAAAAGACAGTAAAAGTTACATCCAGTCACCATGTATCAAGTAAAATTAAAAAAAAAAAAAAAAAAAAATCCTCTTATAGGTAAACCTATTACATGATCCTATAATATCAGCATTAATATTCACTATAATATCACTATTAATATTTATATAAAAAGGTAAAATATTTTCTCACAAGGTGTTTGAAAAAATATTTGATTTCTACTAAATTGTTATGGTAAAAGTTCAAATATAATTTCAGCACCCTTATAAAGTAAAGTCATTTCACTCTTCGAGCAAATATGGTAGCAAATAGCAGGGGTGTTTAAAAGAACCGATTGGAATCAGAACTGGTGGGTACTCAGGGTTTGGTTCTGGTTTCTACCCAGAACCAGTCGTCAACGGGTGGGTTCCAGTTCCAAATTTTTGAAAACGTTACTGTGTAGTTCTGGTTCCGATTTCAGTTCCTATAGTTAGGAACCAGAACCAGAACTGAGACTAATATAAAATAAAATTAAAGAGTAATGAAGTTAATAAAAACTTTTGTAGAAAAAATAACGTGAATACATGTATATTTATATTTCATAACATTTAAAGTAAGTTGGTTTGACTTTTGAGAATCTACCTTTACAAAGTAATAGAGTTTGTAATTTTGAATTTATAATTTATAATTGGGGGGAGGGGGGTGTATTTGTAAGTTTTTAAGGGTTTTTTGTCATTTTAAAAACTTTTGAGGGATACTGTAATTTTACAAGGTACCCAGAATCAGAACCGGAATCGTTGTTACAGGTTCTGGTTCTAGGTACCTAGGAATTGAAACCATCGATTCTGATTTTGGTTCCAAATTTCAAGGAACCGTCAGTTCCGATTCTTTCAAAAAATGCAGGGTATCCGGAACCGAACACTCCTAGCAAATAGGGTCTAAAATGGTATTGATATCATGATATGATCTGTTGATATTTCAGGATCCCCATAGATGCAAGGACTCAATTTTTTTTTTTTTTTAAATACATAAAGATAAAAAAAAAAAAAAAAAAAATGGTGGCTGCTGGGGTTCAGAAACNTTTTAAAGTAAAGTCATTTCACTCTTCGAGCAAATATGATATGCAAATAGGGTCTAAAATGGTATTGATATCATGATATGATCTCGTGATATTTCAGGACCCCAGAGATGCAAGGGCTCACATTTTTTTTTTTTAAATACATAAAGATAAAAAAAAAAAAAAAAAAAATGGTGGCTGCTGGGGTTCAGAAACAAAAATGTAGCAAAACTTGAAATTAAACACTTGGCAACAATCTATAATAATAATGAAGACACATTATGTGTTAATCCACATTGGATTATATTAATTTCATTAAATATAAATATCTTGACCAGACCTACGCCGTCAATAGTAAAAGCCTCGACTATAGGGTCCGTACAAAGGAGAGACAGATATAGACACAGATCGAAAATAAAATAAAATAAAATTGTGGTTTAGAAAGAGACAGTAACAATTGTAGCAGATTACAACCAATGGGAACTCGACAACAGATCCTTAAACAAACCATGGTGGTTTTCCAAATCCAGTGGTTTTCCCTAAAAACCATTATATTCACATCTGAAACTATTTGCTTAATTACCTAATCCATGTATGTGTACGCTTCATCAGACAGACATCACATTTGGTAAGAAGAAGAAAGATCCCCAATTAAAAACTATCTGATTTTCGGTTTTCTTGGGTTCTGCTTGTTGGGTGTTTTTAGGGAAAACTATATAACTAAACCCGAGAGATCGTTCGCCATCATCATCAACATGGGTAGAGGTAGGGTTCAGTTGAAGAGAATAGAGAACAAGATCAACCGTCAAGTCACTTTCTCCAAAAGGAGAGGTGGATTGTTGAAGAAAGCTCATGAGATCTCTGTTCTTTGCGATGCCGAAGTTGCTCTGATTGTCTTCTCTCACAAAGGGAAGCTCTTTGAGTACGCTACTGATTCATGGTAACCATATTGGAATCCTTTCTTCCTCTATATGTCCCTCTCTCTTCTTCTTAATCTTTCTATTTCTTGCTTTTCTCGTACATAACCTTCATCCATATCTTTATTTGTTTTTCTTTAGATCTTTTGTCTATAATTCCAGGATATAGGACGGTAGTACACTCGGAGGCCTGTTTTTTAGATTTTTTTTTAAAAAAAAAAAAAAAAAAAACTCGGAGGCCTGTTTTTTAGATTTTTTTTTAAAAAAAAAAAAGAAGAAAATTAAAATTTTAACAAGTTAAAGTTTATTTACAGACAAACATACTTTTGAAGCAGAAGTAGTTTTTTCAGTTTAAGAGATTTTTCATACAAACTAACAAGCTAATGGTGTGGTTTGGAAGTAAAGACAGTGTTTAGTAGTACTTCTCCAGGGTCAGAAGTCTTACCAAAACTGAAAATCTGAGAGTACAAAGAGATAAGAGTCCGTTATCATCAGGCATGTACGTTTATTACATAATCCCTTACCTTATGGTTCACCTTCCCAGGATAAACACAACAACTTAGTCATAAACATAAAGTGTACTGAACTCAAAGTATTTTCCTTTTTCTTCTTTTTTCAAGTTAAACTTATAAATTTAGATTTCAGAAAGTTATTACAGTATACTGATGAGTCGACAGAAGACTGATCTGGTACTTAATCTAATTTTTGTCGTTTTCTCTGACTAGTCGTGGTAAATATCTGCACTAAGGGTGAGTGAAACCGTATATATAATACCTAATTAAAAAAGTGATGTAATTGAATCGTAGTTTTTTTCTGAGGATCAGGGTTCAGGGATTATTGTTTTTGATCCTGACAAATCTTAAACGTTGCCAAAAATATAGAGCCCTACATACAGATAGTAATAGTAAAGATTATTGTTTTACATCTCAGGAAATTTCATTGCTTTTACTCAATTTATCAGGCCAATTTCATTTGATTTTAGAGAACTTGTTGGAAACAAAGTTGAATGCCTTTAGATGTCAGTGTTTCTCAGTATGCATATGCCATGTCTCTAGTATATCAAGTCCAGCATTAAGGGAGAGCATTTGATTTTTGTTCATCTAATAAAACATTATCTCACATTTATTATTGTCAAAATTATCTATGCAGGATGGACCAAAAAAAAAAATTATAAGATAATATGATAAATATTATTTTATTGGGTTGTGTTTAATTCTCGTCTTCTTTTAATCCCTTCTAAATTCTAATCCTTGCAAGATTTCATATAAAATTTGGTTTTGAGTAAGAAGATAATGATCTTTTTCACTTGTCAATCAACTCATTGGAGTTACAAGACTAAATGAGGAAAAGGATGGTTTATAATTTGTTTGATATAGAATTTAAATACCATTTTTTTTTTAAAAGATAAAAAAAAATCTTATGAATATGCGTTTCGTATAAATAAGCTTAAATGTTTTCAATAATAGTTTTCAAATACTATATCTAACATATTTTCAAATATTATGATACAACTTAAAATTTTGAATTTTATGTTAATTTCTCAAATTTATTTTCAGATCCCAGTCAACTAGAAATATTTGATTTTGGGAGTTAACATTTAGAATGACTATGTTATATCCTTTAGTATTGTGATAATATAATTTTTAATTTTTCTTTTTCTTTATTTACAATCATTTTCCAAAACTTTGTAATTATAAAATTTTAACTTCCAAAAATCCTGAACTTTACTTTAGAAGCCCAACATTTTGAAAATCTCATACTTTAAAATCTTTGACTCCTAATGACAATTTAGTTTTCACTAAACATTTACTTATTTTTGCTAATATAGTTATACTCTATTTGAATGCATCACTGTGCAATTCATTTTTATTAAAAATTTTTTTTTTTTAAAAAAGGGCAAAGAAGTTGAGTCTTGTATTTTACTGAATTATACTAATATATGCGTTACTTTATATCCTTATTTGAAGTTACTAAGTAATTCTTTTTTTCCATATTCTTTCTGGTAATTAACNTTGATCGGTTTTTAAATTCAAAATAAATAGATATGAGTACTCCACCGTTAACACTTATATATGGCAATAATATTGGTTTTGATTATTGTTGTTACTATCATCTCTATTATTGTTTGATAAATAAAATTATAAATTGATTTTAATACTCTATATTTTACACAATCATATCTAGGGCTGTTAACGAACTGAGCCAAGCCGAGTTTTTGGCTTAACGAGCTCGGCTCGTGAAAAGGAAAAAGAATTCGAGCCGAGTTCGAGTCGACTGAGTTTTTAATTTCCTGACTCGGTTCGACTCATAAAGATAAAGAAAGATTTTGAGCCTGGCTCGCGAGCCAACTTAACGAACCGAGTTAGAGCCGGCTCGTGAGCCAATAAAAGCATGCAATTTTTTTTTAAAAATTCTGTGCAGATTTTCTCTCTCTCATTTGTTTCTTCTTTTCTCTCTCTCCACACTACAATGCTTTCCCCTCTAATTTATTATTGATTTGTTTCTTCTTTTCTCTCTCTCCATACTACAATGGCTCACGGTTTTTTTTTTTTTTTCCCTTTCTTTCTCCCCGTTTCCCTTGCTCTATCTAGTCTCCACCAACTCTGAAGTTATTCTCTTCCTCTTCTCTTTTGTTACTTATTACTTTTGGCTTTCTCTTCTTTTCTCTCCCTCTAATGATGCCTGTTTTTTCCTATTTTCTCTTTCTTTCCTTCTTTTTCCTTTTTTCCTTTTTTCTCTTTCGTTCTTTCATTCTTTATCCTTGTTTCCCCTGCACTCTCCACCAGCTCTGATTTCTTTCCTTCTTTCTCCTTGTTTCCCTGCACTTTCCACCAGATCTGACGCCGACAACTTCCCTAAAATGGTTTGGTTTAGTTTGGTTTTAGGGGAAAGAATTTAGTCGCGTTTTTATGGATTTTAACATAGGGGTGTTCTTTGTCATATTTGCAAACTTTTTATTTTAAAAATTCCAGTTTAATCCCCTATACTTAAAAAAACCCCTAAAACGCCGAGCCGAGCCAGGCTCAAACTCAGCTTGCGAGCGACTTGTCTCGTTGAACAGTACTAAATTCATATCATTGATTGATCACCCAGGATATTGATTTTTTTATATTTATTCATCACCCTGTCCTTTGGTGTCAAGTTCCACGAATTTGCTTCTATCGCCTGCATGTGGTTGTAGTGAACAAAATAGAGAAGTAGCGAGAAAAAACAATAATAAAGCAAATCACAGATAATAAACAAAGAAAAAAACACGCGAGATTTACCTGGTTCACCCAATATGGTACTCCAGTCAGTCAATATTGCAATATTTCCTCACCTCTTTTCTTTACAATGAAGAATGTGAGATTTGCTATCACTCATAACAAAAGAAATATGTTTATATACTAGGTTAAGTGACAAAACCTAGTTACAAGGATTCCTATTTAAGCCAACCCAATAAGGAATAATACTTAAAAATCCTATAGCGGGACCTATTGGCATTAACATGGCCCAAACCATTGACGGCCGGGGCGCTGCCCCCATGACCATGCTCCTCACTATGCAGGGGAAACTCCTGAATGCTCTGCATAACCCAATAATGTGAAGTAATCGACAACTCCAACAGCTAAGCCATTGTCTAGGTACCACAAATCTTCCATCACCGGAACTTCCGAGCCAAAGATATAATGCCATCGCTTGTGCATAATAGTTTTGTCTCCTCCTTGTACTTTCTGTTGCGCTCCAAGATAATGCCGGTCTTATCCATAAATTCATTTGACTTTGTCATTTTTTATCACATTGCACTTTATATGTTGCTCTTCTCTTCCTCTTCCACTCTCTTGAATTTTGATTTTTTCCTCTTGAGAAAGATTTGATCTCTCTCTCTTCCACGACCACGGCCTCGACCTCTTCCATGTCTTGGCTCTTTTACTGTTTTCATAAGCTTCCCTTTGGCTTTAATGAAAGCTTTGCTTACAACAATGCTCCATTGCTCTTGCTTGCCTGGTTATTCTTTCTTCTGGCCAGTAAGGGTCATATTTAAGTAGTTGACATGGCCTCCAAACCTTAGACTCTTCAATGGCTACACTACATGGTTGAATTTGGAATTGAGAGAATGAAGAATCTTCTCAAACATGAGAATCTTCTGTCTTTCTCCAAGCCTCTCATTTGATTCACCATATCAAGACTCTGTGAAGTAATTCAAATGACTTCACTCTCTTTCATCAAAAGAGATCAAAACTCGCCCTAGAAGTTGTAGCGTACTTTCTTGACTTCAACTCCCATGGAAGTTCGAAGGTACCCATGCTTGCTTGGAATTGTTTCGCGGCAAACTTCCGAACATATCATCATCTAGGCCTTGATGAATATGGTAAGCACATTGATCCTTTTCCTTTCTTCTCCACAGCATCCTTTTGAGTTGATTACTCCTTCTCATTTTGAGGTTCTACATACCTTTCAAACCTCTCATATCCTGGGACCAAGGATAGCCTTGATTCAATTGCCCAATTATCATAATTGTGCTTAATGAGTTGTGGGTATGGAAAGAAAGAGTGATGATTTAAATAAATGCTCTTGAGTCACGACTCTGATACCACTTTGCTGGAATCAAGAATGCGAAAAGCTCACAAGGAAGAGGAAATAGAAGAGGAATTCACAAATCAACTCTCTTATTTCATGTTCAAACTAACTTGAGTACATGGCTATTTACTACTCAAAGAAAACTCAAGAGTCTAAATTTAAGGACATCTAATACTATTACATCCACCAATGTTATACACACCAAAAGTACCCACAATTACTTTTACAGTTCTCGGTTACTACTAAAAGTAGTAGTAAATTGGCATAATTTACTTAATAAAAATCAATATGAGCATTTGAGTATTGAAACTAGACGAGCTTAATTTGATCTCATAGCTAAAGTTGATAACTTAGCTCTTCAATCTTCTGTCGAAATTTAAATTGCAATAAAGTAGTTTAATTTTCAACAAACACAGCCTAAGACGAAATTAACTCCTTTCTGAATTCCCTTACTTCCAATGAC